CTTCTCCTGAGCTCTAGATGGAACACAAGCCTCAACTGCCCGATCTGTCCTCGGGCCCCACATGCTTATGGAACCCCATGTACACATGTATATTAAATTTGGGTATTTTCTCCTGTTAATCATCTTATGTTAATTTGATTATTAGTCCAACCAGAAGACCTTAGAAAGGTAGGAAATTCTTTTTCTGCCCCATCCCAGTTTTTAAATAATTGCAGTGTTCACATTGTGCCCCCTGGAAAAGAACACATTCCATGGTAACCACACACCGTCAGCAGAGGCTCAGGTGTGAGACGCAGCCTGGACAAACGGCACACCTCTGGACAGGCCTCTAGGCCAGCGGTGCGCCTTCTTGCTGCTCATCAGTGAGGATATTTTGAAAAAAAATATGTTTGCCAGAGACAGGCTGGGCAGACTATTTAACATATATGTCCACTGTTGTTTTATCATATTTTATGCAATTGTTTTATTATATTGTATGCAGTTGTTTATCTCATTAAAGATAAAGTCCATGCATTTTTTTATATTCCCTCCTGCTGAGTTCCTGCCTGTTGAGTTACACAATAGAAATAGCGGCTTGTTGAACTGAAGTTGGGCAATGTTCTCTTGGTTGTGGGTTTAAATGATTTGGGACATTCTTGTGACCTCACAAATGTAGTTAATGAGATAATATTTTAAAAGTTTCCCAAACCCCTTCCCTTCCCTTTAAACATACTATCAGCAATAATACTTTTGTAAATTGGTTTTTAAGTCCACCGTAGGACAACCAAAAAAAGGAAAATTAGCATTTATTGACAACTTCCTATGTGCCAGGAACCTGACCAGATACTTTCACACAGGTTCCCATTTCACCCTTGCAGCCCCTTTTCCACTGTTCCCATTTTGAAAATGAGGGCAAGAGTGCGCTGACGTAACTCGTTCACAATCCCGTAAGTGCTGATCTCCAGGGCCAGAATCTCAAAGTCATTGTCTGACCTTGATAAACGGTGATTATTTTAAAAACATTCATGCAATCATATATTTTTTTAAATGTTTCTATTGACTGATTTGAGATAAAGAGAGGGAGAGAAACATCAGTTTGCTGTCCCACTTATTTGTGCCCCTCTGGGCTGATTCCTGTCTGTGCCCTGACCGGGGATCTGGCCTGCACGCCCGGTGCAGCAGGTGGTGCTCTCAGCCCTGCGCCCCGCCAGGGCCCCTCACATATCCCAATGCGGCGCCCTCACGGGCTCCCGCGCCCGCCATGGAAGTCCGCACGCCCACCAGCGCGTGGGGCTCTTTTCCACATGACCCGCCCTCCAGCTGCACGTTGCGCCCTCTCCCTGCCACCTCTCCGCTCTGTATCCCCCTCGTACACTCATTTTTTCCTGTCGCGACCGCCCTGCGCCTTTCACAGGTCCTCTCAAACATCAGTGTCCTGTTCACAGCATCCGCCTCTCCCACTTCCCTCCGGCGGCTCCTGCCCAGCCCGCAGGGCTCCTCAGGCATCTGCTCCTGGGGAAGATTCCCTTTCTGTAGCGTTAAACCAAAGCTGCAGGTTACAGGCATTAATACCTTATACAATACTTGTAAAAAAAAAAAAAAAAAAAAAAAAAGTTAAAGTCTTTATAGAGCAAAGTTATTTTTTATGCATAGGATAAAAACCAGTGAGGCTGGGAATATTTAATTTCTACTTTATATAATTCATAATTGTTTCATTTCCACAGTGAGCAGATAAAATCCTTATAATCAGAAAAAATAAATGTTTTCTTGAGGACTAACCATGAACTTCTGCCTCCTATCTTTGAGAGAACCCACTGAAATACAGAAATGCAAAAAAGAAAAAAAATTTCAAAACGGGCGGCAGGCTAACACCCTTTCCTTTATCCTGGATTTCTCCCCAGGGACCCGAGTGGGGCGTTATGGCCCCAGGTGGCACCTATTCACCGTCATGCTGAGGACGAGCCACAACAGCTGTGTCCTCGCTAGGTTCCTTCGGGCAGAGGGGAGCCGTGTGGTGTCTCAGCTGCAGTCCCTCCCATTTCACCAGGCGGGACAGGGTCACCGAGCCCTCCGGGCGCCCCCCTGCCAGCGGGAGGGCGTTGGGACTGGGGTGCGGCCCCTTCCAGAGATTCCTGGGCCGCCAAGAGGGCCCCGCTCCAGCGTCTTCCCCCGCAGAGCAGGCCCCGCAGGTGAGGATCCGCCAAGGGAAGCGGCTGGAGGAAAAGCCAGTCGTTCCCCCTGCACTCATCCCTTTGGCACAAATTTGAAGCCCCCCTTCCCTTCTAGACCCTCTCAACTCTCTCTCCTTTCCCCCTCCTCCTCTCCTCTCCTTCTCAACTCCTCTCCTTTCTAGACTCTCTCAACTCTCCAGGTCGTGACAATTCTCTCTCCAGCCCCTTCTCTGACTGTCCACTGAAATCCTCAGAGGGCCCTGTTCCCCTGCAAGCAGTTTTATCCTCTCCTCCCCCCATCTCAGGGCCAGATCAGCGAGGGGTCTTTCTTCCTCTCCACTGGCTCCTTCCAATACTTTTCCTTTTACTTCTCTCAAAAATAACAACTCTTTTGAAGCTTGTACCAAAAGTCACTGCCTTCTATACATTCTCGGTGCTATGAAAACTGTGGCCACAGCTCCTCATGCATTCAAATCCCGGGCTCCTGATTCAGTGTATTTTGCTCTACCTTTATTTTTGTCATTCTTGGTGTGCAATTTCTGTACTCAGTTGGATGTGAAGGAGAGAAAAGCCAACTCCATTCGGACGATCACCACGTAAATTCTGCATGATCTACCCCTGTGCTCCATTACCCATTAAACAAAGCAGAGCCATATGAGTAGACGTAAATTTTAACGTTTGACCAAGAGAATCACCAAGTTTTGGTTCTGACACCTCATATAATTTTCGAGCTGATTTCTTTTGGACACTTCATGAAAATGCTGCGGACAGAACAGTGCTAACATTTTACCTGGTCTTTCAACTTACGCAAGTTTAAACAGAAGCTTCCGGCCTCACCTGATAAAAGACACTCTGGCCTGTTGCTGGACTGCATGAGAAACACAGACCGAGTCTTCTTTCAAGCAGCACCCACCCTACTGCCTACTGATTCTTTCCCTTTATCTCCCAACAAGCCCCTCAAAACAGACATTTCGAATTCGCCTCCTGACACTGATGGGCCTCAATCCTGAATCAGCTCAGGTTTCCTAGGAGCGGCACAGCGGCTTTCACCCCTTTCCCAGCGGGCGCTCCAGTTCACCCTCGGAAACTGGGTGGGGTTTTCTGATCTCATCACATCACAGGGCAGCCGGGAAGGAAGCAGCGCAGGGCCTGCACTCCGCTTCGCTTAGGGCATCCTAGGGTTAAAAGGAGGTCTCCGGGCAGGTGAGGAGAGAGGACGCTGCGGAAAAAGCTGAAGAACAGACAAAACCTTCCTAAGTGAGTGAAAGATACAGTTTACAAAGTCCAGAAGCACAGAGAGCCATACGCAGAATAAATCTGAAAAAAAGCTATGCCTAGGGCAGTAAAATTACTGAAAATTAAAGACAAAAATGACATGTTATAGAACTTAAATAACCACAGACGGCTCATCAGATGCCAACACTCGCCAGAAGGCACCGAGAAGACATTTAAGGTTCTGAAAGGAGACGGGAAGACAGCCATCGTAGATTCCACATCAAGGAACGCTAGGCTTCCAGAATTAAGGAGAAATAAGGATTTTTACAGATAAAGAAAAACTACGAGACCGTCACCGCCAGACCCTACATTACAGAAAGTGCTTAAGAAAGTAATTCAGACTAAATAGAAATACCACAGGGTAACCTACATGTTCAGAAACAAATGAAAATCACTAGAAGTAAACATCTGAGAAATACTTATCTCTTAATTGGCTTTCAATACATATAACTGTTCAAATAAAAAATTATAACAGTCTTTTGTCAGGTTTATAACAACAGACTTTTATACATGAGATTTTGACAGCGATAATATAAAGGATGGTAGAGGAGAGGGTAAACAGACGTAGAAATGTGAGTTTTCTGCATTTTATGTGAAGTGCTACAATAGCAACTTTAAGAATACAGTGAAGAGTTATACATGTATAACGTAATCCCGAAAGCATCTTCTTAAAAAAAAAAAAAAATGAGAGGTATAGCCAAAAAGATAAACTGAGGTAAAATACAAATTTTAAATACTCTGCCACTACCAAAAGGGGGGCAGAAAATGAGAAGTAAAGGAACAAACATAAAGGAAGCGAACAGAACACAATGAAGTGGCAGGCCTGTGCTGAACCACAGCAATCATTACATGTTAACAGACTAAATACATTAAAGGCACAGATTACCAGAATGAGCAGAATAGCAAGCTGCTACTATCTGCTGCCTACAGCAGACACACTTTAATTAACATTATAAAAAGGGTAAAAGAGCAAATGGTAGTTATATGCTCTCTATAGAAGGTACACTTTGTATTTGTTTATTTTGCTGGATTTTTAAAATTATTCTTTATTGAATTTATTGGTGTGACACTGGCTAATAAAACCACAGACTTCAGTGTACAATTATATCACACACGTCTGCATACGGCATCGTGAGCTCATCACCCACAGTCAAGTCTCTTCCCACCACCATCTATCCCCCTTTTCCCTCTAGCAATCACCATACTGTCAGTTTTTTGGGTTTTTTTCTTAATCCCTTCACCTTTTCACCCAGTCCCCTAACACCTCTCCCCTCTGACAGTCGTCCGTCTGTTCTCTGCATCTATGAGTCTGTGTATATTTTGTTTGTTAGTTTATTTTGTTCATTAGATTCCACATATGAATGAAATCATATGGTACTTGTCTTTCTCTGACTGGCTTATTTCACTTAGCATAATACTCTCCAGATCCATCCATGCTGAGGCAAAAGGTACGGTTTCCTTCCTTTTTTCAGCCGAGTAGTATTCCACTGTGTAAATGTACCGCGGCTTTTTTACCTGCTCATCTGCTGATGGGCACAACTAGGCCACCTTCTTACACTACACATAAGAATAAACTCAAAATGTGTTCAAGACTTAGATGTAGTCATGAAAACATAAAAACCCTTAAAGAAAACATAGGTGGTAAAATCTCAGACATTTCTAGTAGCATTATTTTTTCTGACGTATCTCCTTGGGTAAAGGAAACAAAAGAAAAAAATAAACAAATGGGACTACATTAAACTAAAAAGCTTTTGCATAGCAAAGGAAACAAACCATCAACAAAATAAAAAGACAACCTACTGAATGGGAGAACATATTCGCCAATGATACATCAAATAAGGGGTCGATATCCAAAATTTATAAAGAACTTACATAACTCAACACCAAGAAAACAATCCAATTAAAAATGAGCAAAGGACCTGAACAGACACTTCCCCAAAGAGGACACACAGATGGCGAGAGACTTATGAAAAGGTGCTCAAGGTCACTCGTCATTCAGAGAGAAACAACAAAAGCACAGTGGGATGCTACACACCCATTAGAATGGTTAAGATGAAAACAACTAACAATACTAAGTGTTGGCCAGGCTGGGGAACAACTGGCACATTCACACAAGCTCTGTAGAAATGGGAAGTGGTACAACGCCTTTTGAAGTCTGTCTGGCATTTTCTTAAAAAGTTAAACATACGCTTATCCAAAAACAGCCGTCCAAGAGAAGTGAAAACCTATGTGCACACAAAATCTTGTAAGCATGTGCTCATAGCAGCTTTATTCACAATAATAAAAAGCTAGAAACAGCCCAAATAGCCATCATCTACACATCATGTACTATATTTATTCAATGCAATACGACTCTGAAGTAAAAAGCCATAAGCTACTGATTCATGAAACTGTGGTAGGCAGTTAGGAGCAGAGCAAGGGCACGGCCCAGGTACAGAAAGTCAACAGGGTGGAAAGCCCCAGGTGCCTAGCGATGGACAACTGTAGGGTGGGATCTCACCCCCAGGGTGGCCTTTCTGTCCCTAGCATGAGGTCCTGCCCTTTGGGACCCCCTGGCCTTTCCTCCCTAGAGATAACATCTAGGCCTCAGTTGTATTTCAGCTCCAGGCCCAGAAAAGCAACAAAACCAGCCACAGCTGACCTCAGGACCAGCTGCACTGGATCATGACCACAGGACAGACTTGGAAAGCTGCAGAATACTATAATGAGATCTTCCCCTGGGACCGCCCCTAAAATCTCCCAGCTTAAAACCATCAGGAGGGAGGACCCAGCGCCCTCCCTCCAGGGAGCATGCCCAAGTCTTCCCCTTCCCCCCTCCCCCCAGGCACTTTACCCGGAGCTTCTTCGCTCCCAAGCTCCAAGGGCCCTCCCTTTACCTCTATAACTTGTTTCCTAAGCCAATTTCTTCTAAGAATTACTTTTTCTACCTCTGATTTAACAAAAAAAATGTGCTCATAGTTTGAGTCTTGGCTCCGAATTCTTTCCTAGCCAGAACCCAAGTACGGAAGTTGCTGAGCCCAAGGCCAGCCTCACCCCACCCGTCAGACACCTGGTACCCTTCCCACCACCCACAACACAACCACCCAAATGAACTCCACAAGCATTATGCTGAGTAAACGAAGACAGGCACGAAAGAGCACAGACTGTAAGGTTCCATTTATATAAAATTCTAGAAAATGCAAAGGAATCCATAGTGACATAAACCTGATCAGTGATTGTCTAGGGCCAGGAGCGAAGGGAGGCATAAATTTTCAGTATTGAGATTTTCCGTATTGAGACTGAGGAGGTGGTTTGTTGCGTATATTATACACCTGTCAATACCCTCAAGTGGTAGGCTTTACAGGGAAGCAACTTATTTTATGTAAATTATACTTCAATAAAGCTGGGGTATTTCTTATGACAATCCTTTGAAAGAGCCTGAATATAGAAATAAATGTCACACTGGTTGCCTTCAAGTTCAAAATCACTCCCCCAAACATCACTTTTTCATGCCTAGAGACTGGTAGCCTCGCACTGATTCTTTTGCTTTCCTTTTGTCCTCCTTGTGTTACTTATATCTGCAACATGGGAGAGAGGTTTAATTTGTGGCAGACAGAATCTGAAAATTTAACCCCCTTTCCTCTAAATCACAGTTTACAACCAGTTAAGTCTTCCTGGCAGAATACAATGTTTAAATAACACGGCTGATTAAACGGGGCACTGAGGAACAAAGAATAACATTCAGCCGCAGCCCGAAGTTACATGAGGTTGAAACATCTCTTAATAAAGCAATCAGATACTTTTCCTGTAGATGAAGTTAGGCAAGGAAGACTCCCACAACATTCAAATAGATTTGACCCTAAGAGTGGCTTGGGGACGTTTTAAACTACCATAAATGAATGCGACATCGTGCAGCTTCACACAAAAAGGATTACCCATATGACTATAACCAGCTTTAATACACCTCTCACTCTACAATATTTTAAACACTTCATTTTTAAGATCAGAAATGCAAAGCATACTTACCGAAGAAATGATTTAATATTTTCAGCTTTCATCTCGGATACCAGGTTCCACCGCACACTTTGATGATAGCGCAGTGTTGTGGCTGTTTCTTTGAGAGGCTTAATAAACCAGCCTGGGGGCGGGGGGAGAATTCACATATGCACATACACATACCACATACACACATACCTGCTTTAGACTTTTATAAAAGCTAGAAGCCAAAAATAGCCCTCCCCTAGTAAGAAACAGATCATGGTGAGCTTTACAGAAATACTCATACTAAATGCAGGGAACCTTCCAATTGCCTTGTGTAATGTAATTTTGAGTTGACTAAAATGAGTTTTATATGAGGAAAGTTCTTTTCACCTCAGGCATTAAGGGAAAGGCCTTCATCCAGTTCTGGGGGGGCGGGGAGGGACTTAATTCTTGGCACACGCCTGAAACAGAGGGCGCATTCCACAGCTATTTAATAAATGATGAGGGAAGGGTAGTTTTTGCAGTGCTGCACATACTAATTCCAAGCTTTGACTCGTTAATGCTTGGAACTGAGACCACGCTTTTCACCCCTGCAGACAGTGGCAACTCGAAATGGTCTTTCCAACGGCCCTTATCAGTGCCCTGCACTCGGTGAGCACTTACTAAATCGGGATTTCAGTCACACTGGAACAGGAAGGCCCAAACGCATTCCACTCGGTTTGCAGTCTGGCCGACACCCCGGGGAGTTCCCCACCCCGGCCGAGCCTGAGCTCAGCCCAGCTTCCCCGCGGAGGAGCCGCTGCCCCGGGCTCGCTCGGGGAGGGCGCAGGGCCACTTACCCACCATAAATCCCGCCAGGAAAGACGCCAGCGCTGCGGCCAAGCACATGCAAAGGTACAGACGGCCCCTGGACTTCGCCATGGCTTCCTCCCGGCTGAACTTGGAGCGCAGGCTGCGGCCGGGAGCCTCGAGGGTGCGGATGAGCCGCGAGAGCGCGCGCGGGCACGGGGACGCGGGCAGCATCCAGGCTCCC